CTCCTCTGATCCCCTGCCGGCACTGCTTCCTGCCATCCTTAAGCCTGGTTCAGGGTCCACTTAATGTGGATGCGCTAGTTGGAATTAGAAAAACACTAATTCGAACTAGTTTTTAGTTCTAGATGCGTTAGTTCGAATTAGCGCTGTAGTGTAGACATACCCTTACATACGTTCGTTAGTTCGAATTAACTTTGTAGTGTAGACATACCCTTATGGGTTACAGTGGATGAGAAGCTGGATATGAGTCAACAGTGTGCCCTTGTAGCCAAGAAGGCTAATGGCATATTAGGTTGCATTAAGAGGAGCATTGCCAGCAGATCCAGAGATGTCATTATTCTCCTTTATTCGGCTTTGGTGAGGTCACATCTGAAGTATTGTGTCCATTTCTGGGCCCCCCACTACCAATAGGATGTGGACGCATTGGAGAGGGTCCAGCGGAGGGCTACCAAAATGATCAGGGGGCTGGATCACATGACCTATGAGGAGAGGCTGAGGGAGTTGGGTCTGTTTAGTCTGCAGAAGCGTAGAGTGGGGGGGTATTTGATAGCAGCCTTCAACTTCCTGAAGGGAAGCTCCAAAGAGGATGGAGAAAGGCTGTTCTCAGTAGTGACAGATGGCAGAACAAGGAGCAATGGTCTCAAGTTGTGGTGGGAAAGGTCCAGGATGGATATTAGGAAAAACTATTTCACTAGGGCTGTGTCCAGACTCAGGGGTTTTTTCGGGAAAAGTAGCCTTTTTCCGAAAAAACTTCCCCTGCGTCCAGACTCAAGCCACGTTCTTTCGAAATTAAATCGAAAGAATGCGGCTTTTCTTTCGATGGCGGTAAACCTCATTTCACGAGGAAGAACGCCTTCTTTCGAAAGTTCCTCTTTCGAAAGAAGGCGTTCTTCAATGTAAGTAGGGCTTCTTCGAAAGAGAGCATCCAGACTCACTGGATGCTTTCTTTCGAAAAAGCAAGCCGCTTTTTCGAAAGTTCAACGTGCAGTCTAGACGCTCTCTTTCGAAAGAGGCTTGCAGTCTAGACATAGCCTAGGAGGGTAGTGAAGCACTGGAATGGGTTACCTAGGGAAGTAGTGGAGTCTCCATTCCTAGAGGTGTTTAAGTCTCGCCTTGACATAGCCCTGGCCGGGTTGATTTAGTTGGGATTGGTCCTGCCTAGAGCAGGGGGCTGGACTTTATGACCTTCTGAGGTCTCTTCCAATTCTATGATTCTAAGGTTTAACCTGTTAACTGATGAACCAGGATTTTACATCTCTAGTTTAAACAGCTGATTATCCTGAGCTTTCTGTGTAAAATAAGGATGTTTCAATACTCTGCCTTCTTTCTTCCTGTTAAAACTATAAAATAGAATTGCTTTCAATATAAATTAATTTACTTTGCAAGTAGATATTGGGGGCAATTTGTTTTCCATCCAGGGTTTAGTTTTAATTGTACATACATGAATAAAATATCAGCAAAGTGAAGTTTGCATACCTGGGAATGCCAGCAAGGTGGTATTCTGATGACCCAGGACAGAGTGAAAAGAGAAGACTGAGCAAAAAGAAAGGGCACCCAGAGAAAGAAAGGAATAATAAAGTGCTTAACCTGAATTGATTGAACCCACAGTACCTTAAATGAAACTTTAGTGAGATTTGCTTCACAAAAGCAGTTTTGCTACAGTGATCCATCCACCGTTGCTTCCCAGCCTTCTCTGCTGTGTCCCCTGTGTCAAAATATCATGGGTACAGCCAGCAAGTAGAGCACATTTGGGGGAGAGGGGACACCTCTGTGAAGTGCATCTGTCCTATAGCTTTCAGGTTTAGGGTAGGAAGGTTTATTTTAAATATTTTTTTCTACATGTGTTTTGTACACTTTAATGTACACTTTAGGTGTGTTGCACTTTACCCTGAAGTTTCTGACTTTGTCAGGAATGGGGATCTGTTATATTTTGCTTAACTTCTTCAGAAGAGAAAATACCTAATTTTCTGAAGTTACTAATTATATTGCTGGTAGTGCATATATGCACCCATTCATCCTGCGTACGGAAATGGAGGATAATTACATATATTAGTCTAAATTGGCTGCGGAAAAAAACAGTTACAGGGTTGAAGTCATTATGGTGTGAAATTCTGCTCCTTCATTGGGATGTAACCTTGAAATGTAACACAAGAGGGTACCCACTGGGTTGCAACCCACCGACTGGAATGCAGCAAAATACCTGTTGTCTCCTATTAAGAGAGCTTGAGGGAAGGAGCGTAGTGCAATCTGTTTCCCTCCCTCTTCTCATCACAGTACCGTCTCCCTGTTTCTTCCTCTCTCACAAGCCACGCAGTCTTAAAGCTCTCTGCCACCTGCTGGGAGCTCAGTTCCAAGCCAGGAAAGTGGTGCTTTGCTGCTGGGGAGAAGCACTTATCCACAGGAAAAACTACAGTGCAAAGCAGCACTGGTGGTCCCTTCAAAACTGCCAAGCCTTGATAAACTATCCAGTGAGCTATATCACACAGTCATCCAAGCATAGTGATTGGTTGTTTACCTTGTTGTTGCCCATTTCATTTTAAATGGGCTCCTATGTCAGTTAGGGATGTCAGAGTGTAATCGAATACATGATTAACAAACAAGCATGAGCTTATTGGTTAATCTTATCGACTACATGCACTCCTCTCCCTTGCTGCCTCTGTATCAGAGGCAACAAGGGTAGGGGGCGGGGAGTCAGGAGCTGGTGCCCATGGGGAGCTGACTTTTAAGCTGGCTCCCCACGAGCACTAGATCTGCAGAGCCGCCTACCCCTTAACCCCTTCCTCAGTGCTGCTGCCTCTGATACAGAAGCAGCAGTGCAGGGTGGCAGGTGGTTCACTAGGAGTGGAACTGGGAGCACACTGGCTGCCAGCCCTGCCCTGAAGAAGTATCAAATAGTTGTGTAACAGCTAAAATTTGATGCAGTTACACAACTATTCAGTTAATCGCTATCTTACATCTATGGTGTCAGTCTCCTATGTCTAACAATCTGTCCCAACTTGTATTTTGTGCAAACAGTCTGTTTACCTTCACCAGACCAGTTAACAGATAACTTAGTTTTTTCTCTCTCAAAGAGTTTAGTTCCCAGCCTGTGTTGCTTATCTTTCAGAGAGACATGGGGGGAGCAATCTCTTTTATTGGACCATATTGTATATGTCACCAACAGAATCTGGTCCAATAAAAGAGATTACCTCGCCCATTTTGTCTCTAATATCCTGGGACCAACATGACTGACTAAACTGCTTATCTTTTGGCATTTTTTATTACTTGTATGTGCATATTTTTGTATTGCAGTCAAAAACTAAACCCAAGAGAGTAAAAGCCATTTACAACTGTGTAGCAGATAATCCAGATGAACTAACCTTTTCAGAGGGAGATATCATTGTAGTAGATGGAGAGGAAGATCAGGAGTGGTGGGTGAGTATTTTCTTGTACACAACTTTAATTCAAAGTATGCTCATGCTTTCAAAATACATTGGTGACAAAATATAAGTACATCATGGAGTTATTAGAAATTTAAATACCTACAGCTCTAAGTACGCTATGGGTATGTCTAGACTGCATCCCTCTGTCAGCAGATTAGGCAGGTCGCATAAGAAATCTGTCTAAAAAGGCTTTCTTTCTCGACAGATCCTCCTCTAGACTGCTGCTTTTTGCCGACAAAGTGCTGAGTCTGTGGTGGCCATTTTTATGCAAATTAGGCATGGGATATTTAAATCCCTGCCTCATTTGCATCCCTCTGCTGACAGGGGAATGCAGTCTAGACATACCCATTATGGAGAATGATCCTCTATAGAATTTGACTTATAGTTCTCCATCTTTAGGCAACAAGCAGCTGACAAGTCAATCTTTTGAGATCTGGTTTTACAGACTCCTTGCCTGAATGTGTTACACTGCTCCATCGCCCCATGACCCTCACACACACCTCTGTCATCTCCTCCCTCTGCCTTCGGATCTACTGATTTGATTGAGAGCAAAAAGTTTAGGGCTCAGACAACAGTTCCTATAAAGTCTGCATTTTTAAAGGATGAAAGAGGGTGTCTTTTTTGATAGAGATCTAGAGTGTCTCCTTCCATAGAAATCTGTCTGCATTATTTAGACGTGGACTGCCTGTGCTTTAGGTGACATGGTGCCTTGCCCATTTGATTCTACAGAAATTTCTTGACCATCCCTGTCACTTTGACTTAGGAGGAAAATGTTATGGAGTATTTTATAAGGTACAGCTGAAGTAACATTGTTCATGTGTTTAAAATATGTATTTTACACCCCCGCATATGAAAGATTAGATAATATACCTGTCTACCTTTTTATATAGTATACCTCTCTGAACACTAGAAGCGTTCAAATAAGGGCTTTCTTAACTTAGGCTTTGTCTACACTAGCATGTTTTGTCACCAAAAACTGCCTTTTGTTGACAAAATAGTGAGAGCGTACGCACCGCAATGCAACTTTTGTTGGAAAAAACACCCACTTTTGGCAACAAAAAATTTCCACCTCTGGGGGAGACATTTGTCTTTTACCCTCCCTTTATTGTCAACCAAGAGCCAGTTTGGCCTCTGTTGTTTGTTTTTGTCGAGAACTGTTTTTGTGCCTGCCCTGATGACTATGCTCAGCGTTTTGTGATCTCTGCTGCCTTGCAGGCATGTGACCCTCCCCTTTCATAGCTTGGGGAAGTATTTGACAGCTGAGTGAGCTGCTCCATTTGGGGAAAAAACAAATAGAACAGATCATTGGAATGCTCCCATTCTGCCCTGCTAGTAACACAGCAGCAGGCAGACTGCTATTGCAGGGTGAAGGCTGGAGAGATTGCTGTCCTGCTTTGACATTCCTCAGTATAGAGAGCTCCCATAGAGAATCCCAAGAATTCCAAGGATCAGCTCTGCCTTCCCACAACACTGCACTGTGCGATGCTTACCTACATTGCTTTGCTCTATCTGTTGACAGACGGAGCTAGCAATGTGGCCATGAAGTGTTGACAATGGGACTCAGAAAAAACAGTTTAACTGGTTTTCACTTTTGACAGTTTTTGCGTGTCAGTAGCCCTTGTGTTGCCAAACCTTCCTGGTGTAGACATAGACTTATATTATCTAATGGACTTTTCTTAATATCTCACTGTTGTCCACTGTCCTCTTTTTATTCTGTGGATATTGTTTCTCTACAATCTTGAACTAATTTCTTTCTTATAAAGAGCCACGATTAGTCCAATAATCTTCTGGCTAGGCATATGTTCTCTTCACAGGCTACAGGTAGAATGTCAGTGTGTAAACTGTGAAAAACACCTATTTGTTCTTCTATCTCTCTCTCTAAGCACAAGTGCACCTCATCACCTCCAAGACCTCTGGAGGCTATTCAGTTACATGTCCAGTGTGGCATCATTCTCTCCTATAACCAGATGTGTTTCGCCCTATTTTTCATTGGGTCCTTTTAATCATGAAAGCATGTTGAACAAAGATTACGAAAAACAATTCTTCCATTATTTAATGAGATGAAAAAACATGCGTAAACAAGTATATATGTACTTCTCATTTCTCCTCACATCCATGGAGGAAGGATCTCTTTTCTGGTGGCAAGGAAGTACATGGTAGACCTGTCCCTGGAGCATCCTGTGTCAAAAAGACCAACCATCAAGGACAAATGCCATCCTAATTTAGTTTTAGCATCCCTCACAGACCAAAACATTTGGAAGATTCTGCTTCACCTTAAGAATGTGTGATAGAAGGGAGAGCTGCTTTTCAGGATCTGGGTAATCCTAAGGGTGTGGGAACTATTTGGAAATTTGCTTATACATTATTTACTGAAAGATGTGAAGGAGAGAGCAAGTGGGTGCTCTGCTACCTATTCTGCTTTGGATCTCAATGTATGTCTGCACAGCAGTTGAAGAACAGTGGCTGATCTGTGGATTAAGGGGCTATTTATGTGTAGTGTAGACTTTGGGGTTCAGGCTGGAGCCATCTGCAACCTTTCCCCCAAAAGTCTGTCCCAAAATTAAACAGCCCCTTAATGTGATCCTTGCAAGCCAAAGTCAGCTGACATGGGCCAGCTGTAGGTGTTTAATTGCAGTGCTGACACACACACCCCCACAGACCTTGTGATGGGATGCTTTTATTCCCCTGTGTGTCTAACATCAGTAAGGTTAGGAGAACTTGCACTGTTCACTTTCACCACTGAAAGTAGCTCCATCCATTTTTGGCTTTTCTCTCAAAACCAGTGCTTATATTTCCTTTCAGCTAGAAAACAATATTATCCATGTACTTTCCAGAATCTGATGCAGTAAATCAGGAGTTTTGAAAAAGGACAGTTATCCATGAAAGCATTCACCTTACTTCTGTTTATATTGTTAGATGTCAGAGCTAAAGAGCTCAAAATTACTATCGCACACCTGATAGTAATGCTTTGTAACCTCAAAAAGCCCCATGTAAAACCAAAAAGTTTTTATGAAAGCTTAAGTCTTTCCTTCTACTTTTCTAATTACCGTAAATTTGCGAGTATAGTGCACATTTTTTCCCGTTTTTTTAACATCAAAGTTGGGGTGCACATTATCCATAGGAGGTTTTTTAAAAAAAGTTTTAAATTCACCCTCGGCAGGCACGAGCTGGGCGAGGAGGAGGTGAGGCATGGGCTGGGTCGGGGGGGCCGGCAGGCGCGAGCTCAGCACGTGGACAGCTGAGCGGGGGACATTCCTCCAGTAGACGCGAGCTCGGCATGCTGGCAGCTGGGCAGCGGAGGCTCCCCCTGCAGGACTGAGCTCAGCATTCATGAGCTCAGCTGGGCAGGGGGACCACGTGGCAGGTGTGAGCTCAGCTGGGCAGGGGGCCCTTCCTTCCTATGCATACCTTAAAATTTCGAGTATAATGGGGGTGTGCATTATAGATAAGAGTTTAGTTTATTCAAGAATTTTGACTTTTAAAAGGCAGCTGCACATTATACATAGGTGCGCATTATACTCGACATTTTACTGTATCTGGGGAAGAGCTAGTCTACAGAATACATGGAGAACACAGGCCCGCACACATTCACAAAGCATTCCCTGCGGCATGGCTGGCCACACATTTTTAGGAGAGTGTTAATTTCCATTCTTCACCTTTTTCTCTCTCACATGTTCTCCCAGTGAGGCATTTCAGGCATATCAGAGAGTGAGAATGACTGTATAGTCTGGTGACTCACCTAGTTGGTGGGAGATTTTTATTGAAGTCCTTGTTCCAGTTAGTATTTATACCCAGTGGAATAGTTTCAACAGGAGAGACTGAGAATCACTCACCCCAGAATATCTTGGGCTATGTCTACATTTGCTATTCCATGTCTATTGAAGCAGCCTGTCATTTTGAAATAGATTTCAAAATAATGGGTAGCTTATTGCAACGTTCTGGTAACCCTCATTCCACGACGGCTCAGGAGCATTTGGGAATAGTGAGTTATTACCTCACATAGCTTATTTCGATGTAAGGATGCAGTGTAGACACACCCTTATGGACTAGCCCTGTGGCTAAGGCTCTCTCCTGTAATTTGAGAAATCACTGTTTAAATAACTGCTCACATCATGCAGAGGGGTGATTGACCTGGATCTCCAACGTTCTGAGCGGGTTCCCTGACCATTAATCTAAAGGTTATAATACAGAGTGGCTATGTCTAGACTGGCATGATTTTCCGCAAATGCTTTTAATGGAAAAGTTTTCTGTTAAAAGCATTTGCGGAAAAGAGCATCTAGATTGGCACGGATGCTTTTCCCCAAAAGCACTTTTTGCGGAAAAGCATCCGTGCCAATCTAGACGCGCTTTTGCACAAAAAAGCCCAGATGGCCATTTTCGCAATCGGGTTTTTTTTGCGCAAAACAAATCTGACCTGTCTACACGGGTCCTTTTGCGCAAAAGGACTTTTGCCTGAACGGGAGCAGCATAGTATTTCCCAAGAAGCACTGATTTCTTACATGAGATCGTCAGTGTTTTTGCGGAAATTCAAGCGGCCAGTGTAGACAGCTGGCAATTTTTTCCACAAAAGCAGCTGCTTTTGCAGAAAAACTTGCCAGTCTAGACACAGCCAGTGTGTTGATCCTCTTCATCCAGTGTCCTGTTAATATAGTCTTTTGCTCTTGTAAAAATGACTTTGAAATCAAAATGAAATAATTTGTAAGGTTGAAATAAAACATTTTGTTTGGACATAGTCTTGAAAGCTTTCTGATTCTTTGACTTGTTGAAAAAAAATATTTTCAGTTCAACTTTAAATGATTTTTTATTTTTTTTGGAATCACTAGCAATGAAAAAAAGTTCATTATTTGCCCATCTCTATTTGTATGTAGTGCCTAGCTTCCAGATTTGGGAACCTTATGCACAACCTGAATACAAATTAGCATTAAGCCCTTTTGTATCATTTCTTTCCTTTTAATCAAAATAAAACACAAGGCGCTAGAGCTAAGGGATGTATTGGTTTTGTTCTGAGCTATGGGCATAGGGTTCTCCAGAGCAAGTGCTTAAACGGGGGAAGAGAGGAACATGACCATTACTCATGAGTAATTGATGCTTTTTTAAGACTAAAGTTATTTTTATTAACCTGAAAAAACATATTTGCATGTCTTTTCCAGATTGGCCACATTGATGGGGAGCCTAATAGGAAAGGCGCTTTCCCAGTCTCATTTGTGCACTTTATTGTCGACTAAATTGCTTCTGACATGTGGAGACATTTCTAATTTCCAGCTGTTGTAGAAATCTGTTTTGATTTGTTCCAATCAGAACACTTCCTGATTCCTGTGTACTTTACCTGACCTATTATTACCACAGTTCTCACTCTCTGGAACTTAAACAGATTTTTTTTTCTGTGTAGCTCTTCATCAATTTTTTAAAATCTTTTTCAAGGTGAAGTGCAAAGCTTTACAGAAAGGTGTTCAGGAGTCTGTGAATGTGTGCACATTAAAATATTGCAAACAACTTACAGTAAATCGAGTAACTTTGTAGAACAAGGCAGCAAATTCTGCTAGCTCCCTCTACTGTTTTAAATTTTAGAATGGAATCCTAAAACCTGAGTAGTTCTAAATAGGTATTCAGCTCCTTGCAATATCAGGCTCTAACCAAGGACATCAATATGTGCAAAAGAAGAAATCTTGAACGCTTGAACTTGGGTGATTTGGCAGGTAAAGCTAAAAAGCTTTTCAGTTCACCACTGAAGTAGACTTCTTTCTTTCATTCAGATGTAATGTGGATATTTGCTTAAAGTTGTCTGAAATCTTTTAGCTAATTTTAATGAGCTTGAACCTGTTTCATTTATGCTACATGTATATGTAACTTGTTTTGAAATGTCCTTTCTGTATTTACAACCATTTTTAGTCATATTAATTTGACTACGTCTGGTTAATTAAACCTCTTAGCAATATTATTGAGTTACTAAATTAACTCAAGCATATGAAAGCTGCATTTCCTGAAATTTACTTAAAACCCTGTAAGGATGGTGGATTGCAGAGCATTTCTTAAAAACCATTTCCTTATGGTGTTTAGACTTTTTGTATTCTTGCTTTTTCTTGCTCACAGTGACATGTTCGTACACAAAGATTATCTTTAGTGGAACATTTGAATATTCTACTGAATAAGGATAAATATTGGCAAACTCGCAAGTATGCATCAGTTATGTCCTATTTCATATTTTTTAAAGTGTACCACTACCTTGCAAACAATTAAATACTAGTTTGCTAACTCACTCTGTATTTATATATAATATACCCACATCGATGGTAGCTACACTGTTAAACTTGTTTACTATTTTGTGAACAAAAGACTAGGCCGTTCATAATTCCCAGTTGATTGATGGAATATTACAAAACATCAATAGAGAGCTAACGTCATTTTGATGTTTGTATATTGTGATATTGTACTGGTTCTTTTGTTTATGCTACAGGAAAAAACTGATAGCATAGGATTAGAAATTAATGTCTAGGTCACATTGGCTTTGATCACGTTTTGTGACTATTGTATCTCTAGATTTATCAAGAGAACTTTGAATTTCTGACAAATTGTGTCTGTTGGCCTCAGTGTTATAACAGGGATGAAAAAGGCCAATGTTTTATATTAAGAAAAATTGGCATTAATGCTAGAAAAGTAAAGCTGTTGATCTCACCTTTACATCAACTTTTAAAAAATGGTACAAATGATAGACAAGTTGTCGTCTCTGTGAGAAGCTGTTGCTGCATTATAAATGGAACAAACTGGAATGTTTCAGGATATTTTGTTGCAAGTTTTGAAGATAATTAGTCTGCATTTTCAAAGTTCCCAATGAAATATATATTAGTAATAGTGTAGCACTACAGTTTTATTCACTTATTGATATGTTCAGAGTTTTTTTAAACACTATTTTCTATGTTTCTAGAAAGTAAATGAACATTATTTTGCACAATTCACTTCTCCCATGTACAGTATTTTTAATCAGAATCTTGTAGAATCTATAACAGCCTGCAATCAGTCCTGATTATCTGGCATCAATTACATCATATGAAAACATTGATGCAAATGTAACTTCAGCTACACTAGAAAGTGTGCAAACTTTTAAATTTTAATCATGTTAATTATGTTTGTGATCAAGTAATTTTTTTCAGGATAGAGTTTACTAGCACTGTGTTGATGGTAACTAAGATCTTACTGTCCCTTGAAGAAATTTTGCCCCAGGTTTCAACAGTATGCACTCTGTTTTTGCTCCTCTGTGGGAAGAAAATTGCAGTAGAGATTCTGAACAGACTGTAGATATATATTAATAATAAAAAAGTTACTTAATTTTAGTTCCCAAAATTTTGGCATGTTTTCATCAAAGCTGACTGACTTCAAGAGATTATGATGCAGAAATCTGTTACTGGGCAGATTAGTAGGTTGCTGTGTTGTTTTTAAAAGGAACAGTTGACATTTAAAATGCAGCTTTAGAATGGTATTTGAGATGTATTATATTCAATTCAGTTGTTTTATTTTGTTTGGTTGCAGAGCAACTGTATATACTGTATAACCTAAATCAACTCTTATTTTCAATGTCCTGGATGCAGTGATTTATAATTAGAGCATGATTAATAAATTTACTCTTGTTAACCAGTCAAATGACTGCAAAATAAAACTACTTTTAAAATCAGTTGATTATTTTCCTTATTTGACTTTGTACAATTTAAACCGTTTGTTTCAAAAATGTAAAAGATAACTGTTCATTTGAGGTTTCTTTGTACTTGCACTTTATAATCAGAGCTAAAGGGTTGAAATAGACCATGAGAAGTCATCTGGTCCAGATGTCTAAGATGAGGCAGGACCAAGTAAATCTAGACTGTCCCTGTTGGTGTCTGTCCAACTTATTTTTTTAAAACCTCCTGTGAGGTGATTTAAGCTTTTCTCTATACTAAAGGTTTTCAACCTGTAGTGACCCATGGATCGCAGGGGTCTGCAGAATGTATCTAAGCAATTCATGAAAGGTGACTGACTATAAATAGTTCCAGATCCAAAAAGAGACTTTCAGTTTTTTCTGATTAACTAAATTATGTTAATACTTTTCTCCTCTCCCGCCCTCCCCCATCTGCAGGTCAAAACTAGGCAGTGTTGTCAATACCAAAGAAGCCCACAATTTAGTGCCCTTTCTCATGCTATCTCAAATGCGAGGCTGAGCATGTGCAATATTTATAGTTGAATTCTGTTTAGTTATTTCTTTCGATCTAAAATTTAAATGGTAGGGGGTCTATAGATTCCATTTGAATTTTTTTAAAAGATGTCTGCAAATGAAAAAAAAATGGTTGAAAACCACTGACCTAGATTCTCTCCAATTTGTTTAGCTCTTTCCTCATGTGACGTCCAAAACTAGAAAGAGTATTTCAGCTGAGGCCAGCATGACAATTATCTTCTTTTTCTTACATATGACTAATGTTCCATGTTTGTCACGGAGATCGCAGCATGAGCGATTCTTTATCTCTTTCCAGCTGTACAGCCACCAGGCCAGTTACTCCTCCATTTCTAGTTGTGCATTTGATTTTCATTCTTCCTAATGAAATGTACTTTGTACTGCTTGTTTGTTTTATTTAATCTTTGTGCATGCAGAGGTTAGCTGCCTGAAGCTGCTGACAGCAAACTTACATTGTTCTAGATGTATAAAGTTTAACATTCATAACACAAACATCTTTATTATTCCAGACAGACACACACAGACCAAACAACTGATTTATCTGTCTGCCTTTTTATGGATCAGGGGCCACTGACCCACAGAAAAAACAGTCTGAGGCCACATCCAAGAAAGAAGCAAAAACAACAACAAACAAACCCACGCCCCTGGCCACCAAATGAGGCTATGTCTACACTACAGAGTTTTTCTGGTATCCCGGAAAAACTCTGCCATGTCCAGGGAACATGTCTGCTCTTCCAAAAAATTTTTCAGAAGAGCAGATGTGCTCTTTCAGAAGCCCTGTAAACCTCATTTCACAAGGAAGAAGGGCTCTTCCGCTAGGAGGTTTTTCCAAAATTTGGCCCATTTGACTACTGCTGTTGTGTTCTAACTAAAGAAGTCCTCAAATGCTTTCATAGTTGTTTCACAGACTGTATTTGAGGCAAGTGTCTAAATTTCATTTTGCAATCCAAAAATACTTAGTCATGTACAAACCACTATTTGGTACAAACTTCATGTCTAGTATAAAATTAGCTTCATGGTTTTATATGAATTGAAATGTCAGACCAGCAACATACTGCAGTGACTCTTCAGGTAAGTCTTGGTTGGGCTGTGGATTTCTAATTTTCACTCAGAAGGGTAAATATCAAAATAACTTCTGTTCTATTTACAAAGTTGCATTGTTCTTCTCTGAACAGTGTTAATGATCCTTCAAGTAGTTACAGTCTCCAGTCCAAAATGCTTGGTGAGTGCCTATAGTCACAAGAGGGAGCAGTACTTCCTCCCGGGATGAAGGCTTCTTGTACTGTATAATGACACACGACTGCAAAAATTCAAGACTTCTCTGATGTTAAAACTGCATCAAAGGCTGTCGATAACACTTTGCAAATAGCTTGTGCTTGTTCCTGCATTGAACACCACAATACAGATCAATTAATTGTGCTGAACAGAACAATTACATTTTCACTAGCACTTACATCAGTGGTCTGGCTTTTTATATGATGCAGTGCTGCAGCAAAAACTTCCAACAGAATATTATCTACACAATTTTTCACCCCATAGAATGAAACAGGAGAGCTTAAAGTGTGAAATGCTAGTGTTTGCAATCATGCCTGCAGACATCTGTTTTAAATTAATTTTGGAGTGGAAAAACCCCCAGAATTTTTAGTCTTCTTATCTATGTTCATATGTAATAAAGTATCCTGAAGCTACTCTATTTGCTCCCTTATGCTATTGCCAAACATCTGAAGAGGTGGTAGCATGGAGACTAGCTATGCATATGAAAGCATATGCTACCATGAAATTCTGGCACTATCATCTGCTGCTTTCCTTAATATATCACAGGAGGAGCTCAGACTCCTCCAGTAGTAATATAATGCCCGACTGTAGACTGAATGCATTGGAGCACTGCTGGAGAAACAGA